GCGTCACTCAAAATTTGCGCGTAAATGGCAGGTAGATCCTGTTCTAGATCAGCATTTGTGTTCCCCATTAAACGGATGCGCTTGTACACACCAAGCGCCTCGGCCGCGGCGCCATCGAATACCAGCCGACCTTTATCCATGACTATAATTCGTTCGCAGAACCGCGCTAGGATAAGCGGGTTATGCGACACCATCATCATAGTTTTGTTACTTGCGCTGCGCTCTTGTAACAAGTCATAGCACTTGAATCGAAAATTGAGGTCACCAACGGCCAGGGTTTCATCAAGGATCAGAAGGTCTGCCTCGACGGTCATCGCGGTCGCGAAACTGAGCCGTGCTCGCATTCCCGAGGAATAAGTCCTCATGGGCTCATCAAAGGCGTCCCCTAATTCGCTGAATTCCTTTATTCTCGCGATAGATTTCTTAACAGAGGCATTGGAGGCGCCTAAAGTCCGGGCAAACAAATGCGCATTTTCGCGACCTGAGAGTTGCGGGTTCATTCCTTGTCCTAAAGCGAGGACCGCCGCGATTGACCCCCGTCGAAAGACTTCGCCGTCGTCTGCCGACATTGCCCCTGAAATTATTGAGAGTAGGGTGCTCTTTCCAGCGCCATTTAGGCCCACAATACCGACATTTTCACCATTATTTACGGCAAATGAGACACCATCTACCGCCGTATGCCAAGCCGTATCAGCCCGTCCTCCGAGTAGCGTTTTAAACGCTAGAGATAAATGATCATTTGGGGATGGATAATGCTTAGAAACCATCCGAAGGTCGACGATACGTTTACTGTTCAAAGAAATCTACTCTNAATATCGGCAACGGCGTGACGAACATCACCGGGTCTAAACTGGCCGCTAACTTTGAATTGCGACGCGTCGCGATCTAGCTTTTTTAATAGTATTTGCGCTGTCTCAAGAATTGTGGAGGCCTGTCCGCTGCCAATGTTTATTGGGCCTTTCGGAAGCGTCTTCGTTTCGCGACATCTCAGCAAAGCATTTACGACGTCGCTCACAAAAACAAAATCTCGAACGATGTTTCCATCCTCGTAAATGTTTAGAACTTGATTGTTCAAGATTTGAGACGAAAAGATCGACAGGACGCCGGTATAGGGGTTCTTCAGACTCTGCCCCGGGCCATAGACATTTTGAAAACGAAGCAAACCGAGTTCAAAATCTCCTTCGGCGGCACACTGTTCTAGGATGTACTCCTGCATGAGTTTGGTGGATGCGTAGACTGAAGCAGGAGCTGGGGCAATGTTTTCCGAAGTCGGAATCGGCGTCAGCGCCGTGCCATCGCTATCCATGACATCGAAATTACCTGCGCTCAGTTCCTCTACAGAGCGCGATCCCCCCACCTTTGGTTGGCCATGCTCGTTTACAAATCCACCTTCGCCGTAAACTGCTCGCGATCCCGCAAGTATCACGCGCATTCCCGGCGTGGGAGTTTGTCTTATACTCTCGATGAGGTTCGTGGTTCCAAGCACGTTTGCTTCGCAATAACGAGAGGGCTCGTCGTAACTTTGGCCCGTCCCCGTTTCTGCAGCTAAGTGGTAAACTAAGTTAGGCTGGGTGCGTTGCACAGCTTCAAGCAGGCGGTCTTTACTTGCAACATCTCCACGCAATACCGTGATATCGGGGAGGTCGGCAAAAGGATCGGTGGTGTCATGATGGACTTGTGGGTGAAACGAGTCGTATACCGTAACTTGCGCCCCACTAGCTGCAAGTTTTCTCGCCAGACGAGAGCCGATGAAGCCAGCTCCACCGGTGATAAGTACTTTATCGAACCGCATGTTGGGCTCCTTTGATATTGTAAAACTCTCGCTACTTATGTGCGCGTTTTATGCCGTTTACCAATGATTTCGCCGCTGCAGCAATCGGGCTTTTAGGGGCAGTTGGCTCAGAGAGGCTCTTTTCATATTCGCGTATTTCCAGTTTGAACTTTCGCCGCAATTCATTCAGTTCTTTGTGGGCCAAGAAGCCCTTTTTCTGGTCCTCTCGGCGTAGCTGGTGGATTTGATCATCTGAGAGTTCGCGCGAATCTGAGACCATTTTAAGTTCTGTCTGAAAAGAGGGTCGAACATACCCTAACTGAATTTCTTGTATCAATTCATCTTTGCTAACGATCCTATCTTTTAGCATACGCCTGATCTCGTTCGTAAATAGCCAGCCGTTAGGGTTGTCTATGTTCACCCAGGGTTGAGTGGGCATATCCGTGTAGTGTATCAAGCACGTGCTCTCATCGTAATGTTCAAGACTGTTCCAGCGGATAGGAAGATTATAGTTTACATCCGTTTCCTGCAGAATGCACAAGTGCTGCATCAATTCGGTGTAGTCATAGTCCGAGTCCAATCCTTCAACGATTTTGACAGGATCCCAGTCCAGAGACTCGCAGTCCAAAACCATAACGGAGCATTGCTTCGTTCGTTTTCCGGGGGCTGCTGTTTTCGACATTTTCGCAATATGGTCCGGCAACTCTTCCTGGCAGATCACCTTTGCGCCTTCAAACGGCATTTCCCAAATCTCGGAAATGTCTTTGAAGACCTGCATGTCAGCATCTGTGTAAATGGCCCTGCCGCGATAACCAGCCAGTTTTGGGATTGCGAAGCGAGAGAACGAGAATCCCGTCCGCTGTCTGTTTCGTGGATCCTTTGGGACAGGCAGATCCAGGTCGATCATCGGAATAACTTCTACCGAAAGCTTGGTGTGGCGCTTCGTGGAATATTCTAAGACTTTTACGCCCAGCATTTGTGAACGGTCGGTGCCAACGTACAGTCGAACGGATTCTTGCGATGTCATGGTGGATTGAGACCCTAGTCTTTAACTATGTTGGAGC